AGAAGTAATGAGCATGTTTTGGGGGGGGGGGGAAGAGAATGTCAAATGTGTGGTCTGTGTTTATCCAGATGAGAGGGAACAAAATCCCTCGCTTTCTAACTTTCAACCTTTTTTTTTTTTTTGGTCTGATTAAAACCATGTTTGGATTCCGCAAGCGGGACTACAAACAAGAAAAAAAAAATCTCTTTAATCATTGGAGGGTTTAATGGCGTGTAAAGTCTGCTTTAACCCGCGGAGTTTGGGGTTCTGCAGGCTGAGTTGTACATTTTGGCATTTCAGAAAAAAAAAAAAAAATCATCTTTGGTTTGGACGGGACTAATGTTGAGCTTTGGTTTTGGCCCTGAGCCTCAACCTGGCTGGTTGACGCCAAGAAGTTTTTCTCACAGAGGAGGTCGTTGTGCATCCCCTCGTACGAGCCTCGCCAGGCAACTAAGAGGGCCTCTTGCTATTTGGCTGCGCACCCAACAAAGCTGCTTTCCATTCCTTTGGCTTGTCGGTACACCGATATATCAGAATGATGGCTGTGAAGAATCTAAAAGCCATCCAGTTGAATAAAAACAAAAAATAAGCACGCACCCGATCCATTTCATTACTCGCTCAACCGCTATCGGCAAGTCATTCCAAACAATGGGAGAAAGCTGGAGCTGTACAGATGTACCTCGACTTACGAAATTAATTGGCTGTGGAAGAAATTTCTTAACTAGAATATTTTGGAAGACGCGTTTTCCATGTAAAGGCCCTAATCCGTTCCAAGCCACCCCAAAATTTAGACATATATGTTTTCTAAAGCATAAAAATGCATCAAAATATGTAACAAATACATGTTACCATTAGATTATTGTTCAATAAATGAGAATTGTTCATAATGTCAAAAACAAAGAATAAATCATAAAAATGATGCTCATTTAACTATTAACTGTGCCCTCATCGTTTTTTGCCCTCTTTAGATCATGATCTCTCTCAGAAGTGGTTTTTGCCTGGCGTTTTGTCACGAACTGACGTTTGGTTTTAAGAGGTCCCTCTTAGCCAATGGGATGCCAGGAAGATGCTCGGTAATAGCCAATGGCAGAGCAGCTATAACTATGCTGCGTTCAGGAAACTTGGAGCTGAGAGTAGCGGCCCATATTGTATTTTTACCTTTCATATCTTGAAATTTATTTCATAATAAGAGGCAATATTTTCCTGTTTAGGTGTTTCGTAACTTGAACATTTCGTATGAAGAGACGTTCGTAAGTAGAGGTACCACTGTAGTTTATTCCAAATAATAAATAAGACAAACCTTTGCCTTTGGTACTGAGATATGTGCATATTTCATGGCAGGACATTTCCTTTAAATTTGTTAAAAAAAAAAAAAAAAAATGAAAAAAAAATTAAAATTTAAAATAACAAAATATAGCATTTACCAAAATATCAGTTACAAGCAATTGTCACGCCGCTTTAGCAAGAGTAGAAAATTACACCCGCATCCCCTCCACCCCAAAAGAAAAAATAAAAAATACAATAAGTGGAGAATATTTATGTTTGTATGTCAGACCGCATTACAACATTTTGATTCTGATTCAGGGGTAGAATTATTCCATCATGACTTTCTTCAACATGAAAGCTCTGGGGGAAACTATGAAATGAATATCCTCTGCGCTGGTGGGAAGTAAACAACATGTCCTTTAATTATGTGTGGTGCTTTTAATACATAATTCAGAAACGGAAAGGTCTTTTCTTCCGAGAGGGAAGTGTGAACTTTCGGAGGTTAATGAAAATGTGCCAACATTGTGGCAGTGAAAAATGACAGTTCATAACTGGGAGGGTCCGACCGCAGTTGAAATGCTTTTCTTGGCGCCGCGCAAGAGCCTTTGGGAGCAGCAACATGTTCTGCTGTCAAAAATGTTACGGAGATAGTGGCAAAAGAGCGTGGCGGGGTCTTCTTTTCGGTGAAAGTGTGTGATGCAACAATTTGGCTTTCCTCTGTCTCTCGCTGTCACAAACACACACACACACGTGCACACGTTTTTTTCAAAATGGCAGACAAGCCCATGATACTGATAAGAAAAAAAAAACAGCTTAGCCAGCTAATGGAATAGAAGTTTTTTCATATCTGAAAACCCTCAGTGCCATTTTTAGTCAGCATTAATGTTTAACACGGGTGAGCTGACAGTCTGGATTTGTCGGCTGTTAGAGCGGAGCAATGAGAAGGGGTACGACTGGCTCCAGATTCTGACCTTTCGTCGAATGCTACAATCTGCCTGCCGCCGGAACGCCGCATGGGCTAATTAGTTTCGGTGGCATTGAATTTTGACGGGCGCGGCGCACCTCAGGCAACCTTGGGGCCACTTTTGATAGAAAGCATGCATAGACATAAAACAAGAGGGTCGGGAAAAGATAAGGGCAGCGAGACGGATCCATGGAGTCGAAATTGCAATGCAAAATGCCACAAACGTAAACATTCCTGATGGATTTTGCACAGCAAAATAAGTTCAGGAAAAATTATACCCGGAGCTCATGTCAGGCGAAAGTACAGCTCATTTCAAAGATGAACTCCTCAAATGTGATTTGCTTCTTGGCTTGTGTGTGAGTGTGTGTGTCTGTGTGTGTGTTTTTTTTTCGCGGTATTTCCTGCTTGTTGTCGTTTTCAGAGCCGTTGGGGCCCCTCAAGGAATTTGTATGAAACAACTGACTCCTAACATGATTACCAAAACAGACTGGACAACACGTTCCCGACTGAAAATGATTTGTGAATCACTGGCCGCATGAACTTGATGATGCAACTCGAGTGTTGTTTTGCGGTTTGAATTTTCCCAATCACCAAGCATCGCCTCCCAGTCATGATCTCGAGCCCTTTTTTATTTTTGTACTATTTTAAATGTGAACAGGCCTAACGGAAGTGAAGAAATTTATGTGTGTATCCGTGTTCACTTTTATGTGTCTGTGTGCGAAAGACAGAATTTCATAGAGAGCCAACAACACTGACTGCGTGTTTGAGCTTGATGAGGTCTCGGTCCGCAATTCCTCGGGGACGTGGTCCAATCTAGGATTTATTAGGCTTTATTGAGCTTTGTGCAGGCAGGGCCTTTTTTGGCCTATCTATCGACAACATTTTGCGGAACTGGAAGAGTACCTTTGTGGGGCTCGAAAATTCCCTACAAATAGTTGATCGCAGTGTAATTGGGTGCACGCAGGATTGAACGTGACCTTTTGTCCGTAATTCTGTATTGTGTGCGACCTTTTGCGAGTGTGTTGGTTGGTAATTGAGTTTTAGTTTGATCAAATTGGCATTTTGAAAGCTTAATTACGTCCTGTGATGGAAACGGCAATGGGCTTCTACGATGACGACATCTGTAAGGGGCCAAGAGAAAAGTAGATCATCAAGCGTTTTGATTGTTTTCGTGGTCGTTTGATTTTCGGTTCATTTTGCCTTTGATGAAATTCAGTTTGTTTTAAAGCATTTTTTTAAAATTCGTTTTTCAATTTTCATTACCATATTTTCCACACTAAAAGGCACACTGGATTTTGAGGCGCACCTTCAATGAATGGCCTACTTTGTCATTTTTCCATATATTGGTGCGGTGCAGTGCATTATAAGACGCAATCAACAATGCATCCACTAGATGGAGCTACGCTTAAGGAAATGCCAACAGAACGCTACACTGATTTGTATAGCAACGATCAGACGTCAGTAAAACTTCTTTAATAAAGCAGCGACACAGTTCACTTAACCAACAGCAAGTTATAACATTGACTCGTTAACGTGGAACTCTCTTGCCGCTGCTCTATTTCTGTGTTCAACTGCGAAACCGATCGCCTTAAGTTTGAACTCCGCGTTGTTCGCATGTCTAGCAAGGAGACATTTTGGAGTTGACATATTACCATAATGAACATAACATACACAAGGCGCATCGGATTTTAAGGCACGCTGTGAGCTTTGAAGAAAATGGAAGGCTTTTAGTCGCGCCTTTTAGTGCGGAAAATACGGTACTGTGTTTTTTATTTCAATATATGGACTGTGTGTCAAGTTACTCAATATTGCATATTAAAAGTAAAATAAACTACAATTGTGAAACGACTGTTTAACCTTCGTTCTTCTGCGCGGACGTAATCAATAGCCTACATGAACCCTGAAAGATGATGGATGATATTAATTGACAAAGACAAAAACAAAAGGACCATTTGACTACAATTCTAGTTGGTTTGAGTTGCTTTTACAAACGTAAGATGTAGTTTCAGTTTGTTTTTTTTTTTGTTCATTGGAAAGCATTTTCGATTTAATTCTCTTTTGTTTGCGATACGTCAAATGAAAAGAAATTGCGCCACGGGCATTGCTTAGTGCATTTTCATCTAAAGTCAGTCACCATCCAGCCATGGTGCTTCTCGTTGCCTCACAGAACCTTGCAGTGCATTTCCATTTTCATTTTCACTTTGTTACCCAGCCTGAAATCCATTTAGGTCTCGCGGGGGCGCTTTTAATTTTTAGTCATATGCAGAACCTGCTAAGCATGAATCCAGTTGATGATGGCGCGTTGGAAAAATGCAAGAGGTGAACTTAAATTACACAGGTCAAAATGGCGTCCGTCTCCCACCAAGTAATGTAAACTGTAATTAATAATTATTTCCATTAACGCACTCGCGCCCGGTTGTGGGCTACGCTTGCACAAGGTAATGCGGCTTAAATTAAAAGCCGTCTCGCCTGTAGGTGAATAAAATATGCACAATTATAGAATCAGCTCTCAGTATTATGCAGCACGGCCCTAAATAGCCGCAAATGTCAAACGCAATGCTAAACGGAACGGCTCATATAGTATTCTCTCACAAAAGGTGATCATTAATTCAATTGTATTTTATCTGATTCAAAAATGTGCACGCGTGCTGTATTTCATTATATTGATTTAACTTTTTTGTAATGATGAATTATTAATTTTTAAAAAATGGATTTAAATTGTATTGATCAGCTCCACTCCCCCATTTTGAATATGCTTATATTTATAGTTGATATTGTTGCCAGGACTTACGGTTGACAGAGCTTGATGAGGTCCTGGTCGGTGGTCCCGGGTGGCAGGCCTCGGATGTACAGGTTGGTCTTACTCAGCTGCTCCGCCGCTCCCTGGCTGCAGTTGTTGGTGCTGGGGCTGGGAGGAGCCATGGGATGAGGGGGTGGAGCATAGGGCTGCTAAGAAGAGAAGGAAAGAAAAGATCATCATGTTCATGACATTTGAGTTGATTTTACATTGAATTTGAAAACATATCAATAATTATCAATGATTTTATTGTTAAAATCGCTTTATTTGCGTATTGGCCGTTCAAAGACGTGGGAAAATATTCTTTTGGTTTTTTTTTCTTGCTGTCACATGGTGATACGGTGCGGAATTGACTAAAGCATCATCACAAGCTTTGAAAACATATATTCAAAAATTCATTTCTGGCCTTATTGGAAACGTATGTTTCAGTGACGCTCAAAATTGAAATAGAGGCGAATCCTCTACCTAGATTGGGTTCGTGTTTTTTTATATTTTTTTATATTCCAGTCATGAACCTCACTGCACTGGACAGCATGCATGAGGGCAAGTCAGGCTCTTGACATTAAAACCTTATTTGTCTGCAAAAAAAAAAAAAAAAAAAAAATTGTAATAATACAGTAATAACAATAAATAAAATAAAAATAGACAGACATTGACTTGTTTTCAGCTTTTTGAGGTTTCTCGCTGTCAATACTAAACACCTAATTTTGATCCCTCGGGCCATGTTCCAAAATGCATCGAATATGCAGTCTGCTCTGATGTGCTTGTTGTGCTGTTAGCGTTGATGCACGGCGGTGAGGTTTTCCAGCTCGTTGCTATTTATATCTGTGCAGGAACACTGCACACACTAACGCAGAGAAGGAATCGGAACACGGTGGGCATAAGCATCAAAGATCAAAAGAGCAATTACAGAAGAACGAGAGGCTAAGAAGGTACCAAGAAACAAAACCTACTCTAGAATTATGGCTGGCAAAAGGAGAGAAGAAGGAGGGGAGGCCCACATGACTAAATATCACCTCGAGTTAACCAAGTTAACCCATTGCCCTCCCCAGAGAGAACCTTCGTAACCCGCTGAGTTCCTTTTACACACACACACTCACACACACGCGCAGTTTTTACACGCCCGTAAACTCACACGCCATTAGCTCTCCATTCTTCCCCACATGTTAGCGGCGTTTGCTGGAGCATGGCTGATTTGATGCGCTATTTTAAGCGCCTGCGCCATTGCCAGCGTGTCGCCCGCAAGTCCTCAGACAAAGTGCCGGGCTCCACTGAGCGTGAAGAGGGAGCCGCGGCCATCAATGGACGGCCAATTACCATGCTGAGCTAAGTGGAACTAATAGTCAGCTACTCGCAGGGTACAAACACACACACACAGGTGATAAGACAGAAATACACACACACACACACACACACACACACACACACACACACACACACACAATGATCTTTAAAGCTATTAAGTCTCAGGATGAAGTTTAAAGGTTTAACCTTTAACCTTGCATATGCAATCTGCGTCCGATAAAATATGTATTGAAATTATTGCACATATTAAGGAACGTGTCCAGTAATAATAATCCTAATATAAATCCACGATGACCTCACCTACTGTGCCTGAAAGACAGCTGGGATAGGCTCCAGCACCCCCCCCCGTGACCTTTGTGAAGATAAGCAGGGATTCGAGAATGGATGGATGGATCGTTGTTATTTTTCCCAATCCCAGCATGTATCGGTTTTGGAAAGTTTGAGCCCAAGGACAATAAAAAAATGTTGTCACAACATCAGTGGATGCATCCAATTAGATTGCTGCGACATCTTTTTCCAATGCGGCTCACGGTCCCTGGGGGGCATATTTGTGCAGTATGTGGGAATTTCGATAGGATGCGGTCATAAATTAGCCAGTGTTGGTGTCCTTCAATACTTTTGTATTGGTTATTTTGGCCTCGCCCACAGCATTTTAAGCAATCGGCACTAAATAAATGCCACTATAGTCTTCCAATCGAGTGAAAACAAACAGTGCAATGTCCCTGACCATTTCTTTATAGACATTTTTTTTTTTAAACACACACACACACACACACGCACACACACATTATGGACGTCCGGTGCCTCCCTGAAAATTCCACCTACCGGCACTGGTTACACTGCTCATTGGTTTCCTCTTATCGATTTCAAATTTAAAACGACTGGACTCAAGCGTGTTCTTAAAAAATTCCGTCCTCTACAGCCATTTAACAGGTTGTAATCATTTTAGTGGCTCATTCCAGCGGGTTAGTACAAATACAATTACAAAGCAACTTGAAATCATCATGTGATGGGAACATGGGACATGTACACAAGATGCTACCCCCCTCCTCCCCTCCCCCACTTTTGACTTTGACACAAAGCCCAGCCAAGTGGGATACAGCTGCAACATTGTGTGCGCTTTCACGCAGCATCTACACAACCCGGAAAAGAGTCGTAAAGTTGTTGACTTTTACAAGCAGTGTAAAAGGGGCCTAAAAGGTGCAGTAATCACGTTAACATGCATTAAGTGTCGCTATGCGTCGCCTGCTGTTCCCTGTTGCCTTGACGTAGTGTTCCCTTGCAAAGCTTGGCCACTGTTACCTTGTATCAGGGGTAGGGAACTGTGGTTCCTCCAGATCCATATCCTGCCTTTTTTTGATCCCCCCCACCGCCATTACTCCAACACACCGAATTCAAACGATGAGCTCATCAGCAAGCTCCGGAGACGCCTGAAACAATCATGATCAGTTGAATCAGGTGTGTTGGGAGTCGGGAGGGATCGAAAACATGGCAGGGTATGACCCTCGCGGAACTGGAGTTCCCTACCCCCTGGTTTATATCACACACACACAATATTTATACATTCATGATGCGTGACGAAAAACATAACAGCACACAAACCGCAAACGCCGCACAAAGCGGCGGCGGGTGCTGAAGGTTAATTGAAAGCTTTTGCCTCGTTCTCACGCTTTCTTTGTTTTAGCCCCACTTGATGCGCCGGGGCCCGCTTCCTCCTCCTCCTCTCCCTCCCCCCCGGCTCCGGTCTTGGCTTGCATCCTGGGCTTTGGAATTCATGTGTCCTGCCCTATTGATTTGCTTTCTTTTTTTTTTTTTTTTAAGGTCAGAAGCTGAATTCTTACACAATGAGGTAGTGAGGGTCAAGTGCAGACCATTACTTACAATGCTGGGTGCGAGGCAAAGTGCAAGGTTATCTAAGGTTGAAGAAAAAAAAAAAAAAAGAAGAATCCCCTGGGATCAGGAATGCATGCAGGTGCAACGTGACCTCATGGGACATGTACACATAAAGATCAGCAATGTTTCCCGTTGCTTTGCCTTTGGTTGAACATTTTAGTTCCCCACAAAAAAAAAATTTCGTGATAAGACCTTGAGTCACTGCAGGCGGAGTACGAACGGTGAGGTTGAGAGGTTGGCAAAGTGGTAAAAAAAAAAAAAAAAAAGCCGCCGACAGGAAGGACAAAATCATTTCCTTTCCTCTATGGCTGCTGAAAGCAAAATGTAGATAAAAAGCTTGGGTACACTGGATGCTTGACCTGGAGACATCCATCCATTTTCTGATCTGCTTATCCTCACAAGGGCCACGGGGCGAGCTGGAGCCTCGATTAGCTGGCGGTCGGCCGGTGACACCCTCAACTGGTTGCCGGCCAAACGCGGGCACACACAGACATAAAACCATTCGCACTCACACTGAGGGAGAATTTAGAGTGTCCCGTTAACCTGCCATGCATGTTTTTGGAATGTGGGAATACCCGAAGAAAAACCACAAAGTTCACGTGTAAAACATGCAAACTCCACACAGAAAGGCCGCAGCCGGAATCGAACTCTGCACCGTGAGGTCGACGCGCTAACCACTCGACCACCCTACCAAGAGAATTGGTTGTATTTATTTTTTCCAAGTCTAAAGGGGTGTTCACGGCACACACTTGCATCGGTGCTGCACCGATGTATTTTGTTGCGATGTATCTTACGCCGGTGTAAATTTTGTGGAGCGTTCACACATAAAAAGCTGCCTACTAAAGAGAAGCGTGTTAACCCCGGGGCAGCCCCACTCGCGTTCACACGGCAGTTTCTGCGGCCGCGCAATCCGATAATACGGAAGGAAAACATGCGTAAAGTGTACTTCCTTTTCCCCGCCTTGTTTGTGACATATCGAAAAAACCATGGTTGATACTTCTCCAAACAAATCAACGCTGTGGTCTATCAGACCCCGTGAAAGGATGAGAGAGAGAAAGGAAAGAAGTGCAAAATACCCAGGATGCATGTTATGCAATACCCGTATGTAATCAACACTTCTCACGCGTAGTGAGTCTACCCCTGTAGCGTTCACACATTTTATATCGGTGCTGCCCCGCAAACTAGCATTTACTCCGGAGTAAATTTTTAAACCACCTCCCGAGCAGGGTTAAAATTTGCTCCGGTTTAAGCTGTTTTCAGGGGCTACACCGGTATAACTTTGTACGTGAACGCTCTACGGGGGGCTACACCGGAGTAAAAGTTGCCACGTGAACACCCCTTAAGACTCAAGAATTCTAAGAGTTTGGAGAACAAGAATTATACTTTGCTGGAAACTGTAAAGTCGAACATCTCACTCTCTCTCTCGCTCTCTCTCTTTCCGCCATCTTTCTCTGTCTCCACGTGGCCCTGTGACTATACAACTCAGCCAACATACAGCATCCACAAGATTTATCATACTCACTAAGCGCGCTCGTAAATATTTCTACGTGACACAAGCTCTAAACCTCCCCTGCATTGCTCGCTCACTAAATTAGGGGATGTGTAAAATATTCCGCTTGTCTAAAATACAGTGTGGCAAATTGGATCCCAAGTAATCCTCTGTCGCAGCGTGTCACAGCTGGGTAGGGAGAAGAGAGAATGGAGATTTTTCTCATTTACCTCCTGGAGAGTTTTGAAGTGTCATAACTAGCAGTTCTGCTAGACTTGCGAGTGTAGTGCTCTCAAAATATCTTATTCTTGGATTTCTTTGTCTCTCCCTCCCTCTCCCTTGTCGCCTCCAAATGCATCTTCGGTCTTTCAGAAATTACCATGAGGGAGTGCTGTATTAATTCCACCTAATTCTGACGTGTGAGGCCTTTATTCGACGTTTCTTCCTGGCTGAAGATGGGGAACC